GAATAACAGTAAACTTTCTGTTTTTTAATTCATGTTGAGTACGAGCTACAGAGATATAAATTGTGTTAAAAACAGAATTTGAGCTTGACTTCTGACACTGCAGACCACCTGATAGCACATTAAAGTAAGCCTAGTGACTTAGTATGACTACTTGTAAATCATAGCTATATGCAGGCTTGATAGCTCATGGCGTGCACATATTATTCATATTTCATATTCATATTTTGATTACTTTGTTAACAAAATTGGCTCTATCAAGCAGAACATTGGATTATGACTAGTCATATTTGTTATTTAAGATATCTCTAATTACATTTCGACTGGTAAAAATGACGTCAGATTTACCACTGAAGTCTATGGAGGCTTCAATTCAAGATATTTTAAAAGGAATTTTCACTAGTCAAAAATAAAATTCGAGATATCTCCAAGTTAGTTTATAGTCACAAGTTGCTTTCAAGATATCTCACTTTTAGTTCTGACTAGTCATAATTCCAATTAAAGATGTATTAAATGCCATCATTATTTAAGATATCTTAAATGTACTTTTAGATATCACAAATAAAGATTTGACTATTTCAAATTCAATTGCAGATATCTTGAAATCAAATTATGACTAGTCAAAACTAAATTACAAATATCCAGACCTGTAATTATGACTAGTCAAAATTCCTTTTAAGACATCTTGAATTGGAATTATGACTAGTCAGAATGTTAATACAGATATCTTAAATTAACATTCTGGATAGTCAAAATGTAGTTATTCCTAGTCAAAACTCATTTTTAGATATCTAGAATGTTATTTCAGGTAGCCAGACGAAACCGATTTTATGCTAAAATGGCTTGCCATACACAATTACAGATCTAGATCTCTAATTTAGTTTTGACTATTTATTATTCGCTTTCAAGAAATCTGTAATTGAATTTGAACTAGTCAAATTTTTATTTGTGATATCTAAAAGTACATTTAAGCTATCTTAAATAATGATGTCATTTAATATATCTTTAATTGGAATTAAGACTAGTCAAAACTAACTTAGAGATATCTCAAATTGTATTTTTGACTCTTGAATTGAAGCCTCCATAGACTCATTGGTAAATCTGACGTCATTTATACTAGTTAAAATGTAATTAGAGATATCTCAAATAGGTATTTTGACTAGTTAAAATATATAACAAACATGACTAGTCATAATATTTCAGATACAGTATCTGGAATGGAAGTGTCGTGAATCCGATTATCTGCTAAAATGGCTTGCCGCAGAGTAGGATGTGTCGAATGTGACGTTTTGAAGTTCGTCATCAGCTCTGAGAGATATGATTGGTTGTCTAACAAAGACTAAGCGCTGATTGGCCGCCGTGCCGGTGATATATAAACCGTTCAGCTCAGGGGTAGTTCTTTCACTCTCCTCATCTCAGCGAGGCTCTTTGTCCGTTCTCACGGCTCACTTCGTTCTTCATTTTCACTCAGCCACAAAACCGTAAGTTGACGTGTTTTTGTCTTCATACATACGTTTTAAAGAACAATGTTAAAAGTTGTAAGTCTTGATCCCGTCGCGGACCGTCTTTTCTTGTTTTATGGTTGTGTGTTATTTATATTTAATAAATGCCTCGTTCTTTAAGATCTGTAGATAATCTGTATTTAAAAAGGAGCAGCTGGCCAGTTTTACCGCATGTTCGCGTTGTTTTCCGGTGACTCGGCTCGGCGGGGTGTGGGGATTGTTCTGGGACCTTCGAGAATGTTCTAGAACGGCASCGTCAGGTTCTCTGCTTCCGGTTCGATTTTTTTTAAGACTCCAATTGAATGTGCTTATTTAAATGAAGTTGTATGTTTTCTCCTTGACTATAAAATCGAAAAGACTGTAATTTTAATTTATATTGAAATAAACCGAGCAGATGAGCCTAACACGGTGATGAGCCTGGAGTCACGTGGTCCCAGAAGACGCGGTGTTCTTTCAGGAGCTGCCTGCTGCAGGGCCGGACGGTGCCAAGCATTAACAATGACTACACATCATTAACCCGCTTTAACAGCGTGGATATCCACACTAATTTACTGAAATTAAAGTTTTTATTGATGCTGCTGAGGCAAAAAAATGTAAGTTTCTTTTAAATGTAGCTGTGGAAAAACAGATACTGTTCTTTTGAAAGTGTGTACTTTATAATTAAAGTAAAGTTTTATTTATAAAGCGCCTTTCACAGAAATATATTCACAGGTTGCTGTACAATCATTAACGTAAAATGGTGGAAAGATTAAATGAAACAAAATAAAACATAAACAGGGTAATGAAACAAAATCAAGGTTAAATTTTAAAATTGTAATGAAACATATTAGTGCACCCTTAAAGTGATTGAATTGGGAAATATTAAAGGCTAAATGTGAAATTAGGACAGACTATCTTAGTTCAACATATTAATGCAACAGTGCCATCAAGTGGAGACATTGGAGGATGGCAAACAAATAGTGTTTCCCCTAGGAAATTAGTGTGGGGGGGGGGTACTTGTTTTATGAAAATATAAAGTACTTAATAGCAATGTTTTAATACTACATGCACTCATAATATGATGATTATTATTATTATGAGACGGCAGGAAATTTCCTCTTTCTTGCTGATTCCATCGGACAAAAAGTCGCTCAGCTGAATAAGTTAAATGCACGCAATACAATTTCATGACAACATRATGTTACAGGAGATTCAGCAGCGTTTTGCTGCCTCTTTTGAATCTTGCGCAGGTGAACCTTCCTGAATCAGTCACGTGGTACGACCTACCAGCGAGGCTTCGAACGTCACTACAAGCCTCGATATGTGCTCCACAAAAATCCTCCTGTTACTCGGCACACGCTTCGAAGCCTCGACACAGAGGACACATCACTAGTTAAATGTCTTCTGCAATGTGTCACTAAAATGTCAGCACTAATTTTTATTTTTTTCCTGGATTTTGTGTAGGGAGCCATGTCTAAGGGACCAGCAGTTGGAATCGATCTAGGGACCACCTATTCCTGTGTTGGAGTGTTCCAGCACGGAAAGGTTGAAATCATTGCCAATGACCAGGGCAACAGGACCACACCCAGCTAYGTGGCATTCACAGATTCAGAGAGGCTCATCGGAGATGCAGCCAAAAATCAGGTTGCCATGAACCCCACCAACACAGTTTTTGGTATGAAAGCTTTGATATTATAATAAATGGTAAATTTATTTGATCAAAATTGATTTTATAATCTAAAATCTTTGTTACAGACGCCAAACGACTGATTGGCCGCAGATTCGATGATCCCGTTGTTCAGTCCGATATGAAGCACTGGCCTTTCAATGTCATCAATGACAGCAGTCGCCCAAAGGTTCAAGTTGAATACAAAGGCGAAAGTAAAACCTTCTACCCAGAAGAGATCTCATCCATGGTGCTGACTAAGATGAAAGAAATTGCTGAAGCCTATCTCGGAAAAGTACGTTTTCTGTTTTGAGAGCATTTATTTAAGCTATAAAGACATTTTGTAAATGAAATGTTTACTCTCTTTCAGACCGTCAACAACGCTGTAATCACAGTACCTGCCTACTTCAACGACTCGCAGCGTCAGGCCACCAAAGATGCTGGAACCATCTCTGGTCTCAATGTTCTCCGAATCATCAATGAACCAACTGCTGCTGCTATTGCCTACGGGTTGGACAAGAAGGTAAGTGACTCAGAACGGCCCGTCGGTGTGGTCAGGTTACAGGATCAAATTCAAATCATTGTTTAATTTCAGGTTGGCTCAGAAAGAAACGTTCTCATCTTCGATCTCGGCGGTGGAACCTTCGACGTGTCCATCTTGACCATCGAAGACGGGATCTTTGAGGTGAAGTCCACTGCTGGCGACACTCATCTTGGCGGTGAGGACTTCGACAACCGCATGGTCAACCACTTCATTGCAGAGTTCAAGCGCAAGTACAAGAAGGACATCAGCGACAACAAGAGAGCCGTCCGTCGTCTGCGCACTGCCTGTGAGCGGGCGAAGCGCACCCTGTCTTCCAGCACGCAGGCCAGCATTGAAATCGACTCTCTSTACGAGGGAGTCGATTTCTACACCTCAATCACCAGGGCTCGCTTTGAGGAGCTCAACGCCGACCTCTTCCGCGGTACCCTGGACCCCGTCGAGAAATCCCTCCGTGACGCGAAAATGGACAAAGGCCAGATTCATGACATCGTCCTTGTCGGTGGCTCCACCCGTATTCCAAAGATCCAGAAGCTGCTTCAAGATTTCTTCAATGGGAAGGAGCTGAACAAAAGCATCAACCCAGATGAGGCCGTGGCTTATGGAGCAGGTGAGGTTCAACACTGGAGTTACATTCATAGTTAAAGCGTCATTAGCCTGACRTTGTTTGTGGTTTGTTTCACAGCTGTCCAGGCTGCCATCCTGTCAGGTGACAAGTCTGAGAACGTGCAGGACTTGTTGCTCCTGGACGTCACACCCCTGTCTCTCGGTATCGAGACTGCTGGMGGGGTCATGACGGTCCTGATCAAACGTAACACTACCATTCCTACCAAGCAGACCCAGACCTTCACCACCTACTCTGACAACCAGCCTGGTGTGCTCATCCAGGTGTGTAGAGTCCATGTGCCRCCCTCTTCCTGTCCCGGTGGGACTCGTCTTAACAGCTTTGTCTTCTAACAGGTGTACGAGGGTGAGCGTGCCATGACCAAAGACAACAATCTGCTGGGCAAGTTTGAGCTGACAGGCATCCCTCCTGCTCCCCGTGGTGTCCCCCAGATCGAGGTGACGTTCGACATCGACGCCAACGGTATCATGAACGTGTCTGCTGTCGACAAGAGCACCGGCAAGGAGAACAAGATCACCATCACTAACGACAAGGGTAGGTGTTGAGTCGGGTCTGGAGCACGGTTCCAAACATCCAGCAGATGCATTTCTCTGAACGGGTGTTTGCTCTCAGGTCGCCTCAGCAAGGAGGACATCGAGCGCATGGTTCAGGAAGCTGAGAAGTACAAGGCAGAGGACGATGTCCAACGTGACAAGGTGTCTGCAAAGAACGGGCTGGAGTCCTACGCCTTCAACATGAAGTCCACAGTGGAGGATGAGAAGCTTGCTGGAAAGATCAGCGATGACGATAAGCAGAAAATCTTGGACAAATGTAACGAGGTCATCAGCTGGTTGGACAAAAACCAGGTGAGTGAGTGAATGGTTGGTGTTTGAAATTAAAAGTTGGGCTTACTATGAGTTGGCTAACAAATTATTATTTTTATTTTTTAGACTGCTGAGAAGGATGAGTATGAGCATCAACAGAAGGAGCTGGAGAAGGTGTGYAACCCCATCATCACCAAGCTGTACCAGAGCGCTGGTGGGATGCCAGAGGGCATGCCTGGTGGCTTCCCTGGTGCTGGTGGTGCTGCCCCTGGTGGTGGATCCTCCGGACCGACCATCGAGGAGGTCGACTAAACACTCGTCATTTCAGCTGTCTCCTGGGATGTTAAGAACAAAACCCTCTTATAGCCTAAGATTCAAAAAGCTTAAGAGTGAAATTTAAACAAAAAAAATGGGATCACATATTAAATGCAGCTTTGACTCATCAGGGAACAACAAGTCTGCATAGCTAAGATCTTATGTATGCTGTATTTGATATGAGATTTGACAATAAATCTTCAAACCCTCTTTGTAGTCTTTTCACAATTTGTCCTTCAAATCTACCAGTCAAAGTGCTACAGAAAACTGCAACTGGTTTATTTTTACACAAACTAAATATAAAAGGTACTTGAAGTTGTAGATAYATTTTTAAGAAACAATTTAAATTGCAAAAGTTTACATGGTGCATTCAGAACCAGAGGAATCTGAAAACGCTGCAAAGGCTGAAATGGTTAAATGCAAAAGAAGCAGAACATGAGCTTAAATGTAGCAAATGATTGGCTTTAAGTAGGTTAAAACTAAATGAGAGAACTGCAGGAATATTGAAGCATGTTTTAAAAAAAATGTCTGAATTGAAGTCTACTTCCATGAAAGAAAATTTGAATAAAGTAAGCTGTAGTACCCATGTCCTAGACGAAGTCAACATTTTTAGATCTGGTAAAATGAGAACAGCTCAAAGTGAATGGAGGTCCTGACAGCGTTCATCTACATTTGTCACGTTGAGACTTCAGAGGTGAAACTGTTCAGTCTTTAGTCCTGGTCTGGACTCAGCCCACAAGACATCTGAGATGAGCATGTGGAACTTCCCTATACAGCACAAGTGTCCAAATAGGCCAAAATCAGAAGGACTTGAGGGCCAAAAATATTTTCCTTTACCTGCTCAATAAACTAAGCATTGAATAATTTAAAAGAATTATTGCTGGAAATGGATGTGTAAATTTAGATCAAGAACTGTAATTAAATTTTGCAATTTTGCAGGTATAAATGTGGAGAGAACCCAATTTAGTCAATTCTGATGAATAAAATCAGGACTTAGGTCACTTGTTGAAAATGCTTTATTTTGCCAAATTTAATAAATTAATTAAAAGCAGATTGGAGGGCAGCAAAATCAGCTTTTGAGTTTAAGTCACTAGATGTGGAAAAAGCTAAAAGCCTGGTTATTAAAAGACAAATAATTGGCGTTGTTGCCAATATTTATTAGAAGTAAATTAGATCATTTTGCCCTAATTAAAAATAGAAAGTCTCCATCTACATCAAACATGTGGCAGGAGGACAAATTTGTAAACAAGTTCATTCTTGAACTTAAGGGCCACAAATGGCCCCTGGGCCACACTTTGGACAGCCGTGATATACAGCCATGGGGCGTGAGGTCATGAAGTCTACAAGGATTTCTTTARTTTTTGTGKTTTTAGCACCTTTTTTATTTGCAGAGTCCTGTTCCTGTAGTTCCTTATAGATCAGCTCCAGTTCAGCCGTGTCGTCCAGAAACTTCATGATGGTGTTTGAGGGTCTGAGCACTCAGTGCTGGGGGACGGGATGCTGAGAGGACAGGAGCACAGATGGAGACCAGGTTTTACCGACTGCGAAGGGTTTGTCAGGGAGCTTGTAATGCAGGTTTCTCTCATGGCTCCTCTGCTGTCCAGCTGTGTGCTTCTCATGTTTAACCAAACTCAAAAACACGGGACATAGAAATATGAATGCTTGCAGTATAAATACAACAATCTATGTGCATTTTTCTTTCTGATAAAAAAAAGTTTAAAAAAGTATCTAAAGAGAGTTAACGTTCAGCCTTGATAGAAACTTGTGAGTACATGATTAAAATATTGAAAATAAAAGACAGACTGTAGAAGTAAGTCTTGAGTTGTCTTTAAAAACCTGTCAGCTGTCCTGAGGACATGACTGCCACAAGTCTGAGACCCATCAACACCAAACTGTTGATTCTTCATTTGTGCTGGTGTTCCAGGCTTTTACCACAGCTTCTTTCAGCTCCTGCTTGTTTCAGGGGGTTTGTCCCTTCAGTCCCCTCTTCAGGAGGTGAAATGCTCTGTTGGGTTCAGGTCAGGTGATTGTGTTGTATAACGTACCACAAATTGATACTTGAGTAAAAGTACAAGTATCTTACCAAAGAACTACGTTGGTAAAAGTTTAATTTTCCTTTAGGAATATTACGGTACTTGAGTAAAAGTCTTGAAGGCACAGTGTGTAGGATTTTGTCAATTCTTTTAGCCGAAATTGAGATAATCACTAATGACAATAATAAAAA